AGGAGATCCAAATGGAAAGAATCTTTTAAACATTATTTCTAAATCTTGTAAACTCATTTTCCCATTGGGATATTTTGTATTAAATTCTGATGACCATTCCTGTAAATCTTTAATTGCAAAATGTGGAAATTTTTTCGAATCGTCTACATCGAAATTTTTTAGGGAGCTTGATCTGTTTCCCATGGGTTCTTGTAACGATAAAAATTGTTATGAATAATCAAAACATTTAAATCCTAAATTTATTGGTGCAATCTAAAACAGTTACATTTATAAAACCAATAAATTTATTTGTATCTTTGTAATGATTGGTGTAACAATAAAGTTTTGATTTAATCAAAACTAAAAATATAAATAGCACCACAAAAATACAAGAATGCAATCAATAAACAAATTAACTAAAAATGTCTTTAAATTTTGTAGTTTAATTGAATACTACCTAAAGAACAACAATCTGCCACCTATTTCTGGCAAAAATAAATACATTTGATAATTAAAATATAGTACATTTTGTTATTTACAGTAAGCTACATTTTGTTACTTTAAGTAAAATACATTTATTTTGTAAAGTAAACTACATTTAAAAATTAAAATATTTTGTAATTAAAAAATATAATATTTTATTATTTAATTATCAGGCGGTAAATTGAAATAAGGAATCTTTCCTCTATTCCAATCATGTAAAATTGTCTTGCTAATCAAATCTATATAAGGCCTATTCCCTTTTGTTATTTTACCATATTTTAAAGAAAATTTTTCAAATAGATCATCAACATCTCTAAAATCTATTTTATAAAGTTTAGATATTTCTGTTTTATATTTATTTGCTAGTATTTCTACATAATATTCAGGATTTTCTAAATTTTCTACTCGAATAGCACCTTTAAACACAGCTTGTTCAAAATCAGGAATTGGAACTACACCAGGACAGTCTATAAGATAAATGCTCCTTGTAAGCGTAATATACTGCCAAACTTTTGTTTCTCCCGGGACTGGTGCTACATTACACACCTGTTTATTCCGTAAAGTGTTTATTATACTACTTTTACCACTATTAGGATATCCTACAAACCCCACACTAGTATGTTTCTTATTGTATAAATTGTCAAGTTGTCTTAAAATGTTTATTAAATTATTTTTACCAAAATTATTTTCTAATGAATGCGCATGGTAAGCCAATGTAGTATGTTTAGTCGAAAAATATTTTAACCACTTAGCAGTTATACCAGTAGGCACTAAATCTACTTTATTTAATAAATAGATCAAATGCTTATGAGGTGCTTCTTCTTTAATGTATGTAGAAATTTTCTCACACATTGCACCGAGTGGATCCCTTGCATCTAACACATGTATTATAACATCACTACTATCTAAAACTTTATATAACTCCTTCCATATTCTAGTACTTTGACCCTTAACACTTTCTTTTTTTATTTCTTTTTTCTCTTTACTGTCTTCTTCTCTTCTTTTAACCATTTCTGATAATGAACTTACCAGTAATTTGGGTTTCTTCCTAATGGCATTTTTACCAAAAACACTGTCAAAATCTACAGTTGTTTTCTTTTTAGTGTTTTCTGTAAGAAGAGAATATGGAACATTTCCGGTTTTTAACAAAACATTATATGGTGTTTCTATCTTAGAAGCTTCTCTAAACTTTTCTAGATCTAATTGTGACACGGTCTTGCTGGCTCTAAACCATTTTCTATCAGGATGTATTCTACCAGTCTGGGCTTTTGTTTTTTGAAACTCTGCTGGCTTAATAATCTCTGCATGGGAATTTCTAATCGGCTTATCGCCACGAATCATATTTAAATATTTTAACTTTTTTTTATTGTAAAAATTCTCTTTCATTTTTAAAAGGGAAAAAAATAAAAATTTATTTTACATCTTTGTTGGGTCGATTTAAAATAGCTTCTACTCTAGATTTTAAATCCTTGGCTCCTTCTTCTGTAATAAATACTAATGTGTCGTTAATATTTTCAATAACAAAATTCTCATTCTCACCTATTGTACAGATTACTTCTTTAATACTTGGTTCTGTTTTTACAAGACATCCTTTCGAGATTGTAACCATTTCGGGGGTGGACTTAAAAATGAGAATTTTTAAATGATTCTTTTGCGTTAAATATAATTAAAACAATATAAAAAGATTATTATTAAATTTAAGAATATTAGTAATACCAATAACTTGACAATTATTTTTTTTAATTTAAAGTTGCAAACAAACTTTGCTTGTAAAATTTATAAATAAATAAATAAATTTTGCCCCTAATTAAAAATGTTATTCTTATTTTTTCAGGTATTTATTTATGCATCTTCAAATGAAAACAAAAAGTCAACTACAAATTTGCAGTCTTCGATGAATGAAAACAGAAGCATAGAACAACAATTAAGCAAAAATTCTAACATGCATAAATGTATTTCTTTTAAAACCAACAATAAACATTCAGCTGATGAACATTCAAAAGATTACAATCCAGAAAACTTTACAAGATGTAGAGAAAAAATTAAAAAAAAGGTTGAATCTAAAATTCCTATAAAAGTTGGTAGTGATATTTATGCTAAAATGTTTAAAAAAAATGAAACAAACAATTCACATTTAAAAAAAGAAAATTGTTCTAAAATTCCTATAAAAGGCAATAGAAATAAAAGGTTGCCCGAAGCAAACTTGTCTAAAATTCCCCGCTTTATAAAATTACAAAACCACTCCTCTAAGAACTATTTTGAAGAAGTTTACAAAAATATTCATTTTTATGAGGATTTTAATGACTTCTTAGAAGATTATGAAGGTATTCTTTTTAGTACAAATTACGCTTCATCTCCAAACCGTAGTGAGGAGCCAACAAACTCTGGTGAAATAAATAAAAATATTTTAGGTGACTTAAATATTCCTGAAAATAATGAATTAGAAAAAACTCAAGAAATGAGTCTAAAAATGAGATTAAATCCTTCCATTGAAGAGCTTTTAAAATCTAATAAAGATCCAACATTTGAAGTTGAAATAAATACACAACAGCAGCTTAAAATCAACAATTCAAATTTGTATCTTTTAAATATTATAAAAAATGCAGATGCAAAAATAAAAAATTATATTGATAAACAAAAAAGTAATAAAGGGTTGTTAAACAATAATGATATACAGCTTTTACACAATATTAACTATATTATTTATCAATTTAGAGAACAAATAACTTTTTCTACTACACAATACTGTGATGTATTAGATTTTATATTTATTAAAGGGAAATTAGAATGCAAGTATTCTTTAGCAGTTGCATTTACTAAAATTATGACTTTTAGAGAAGTTTTTATAAAAATATTAGAAAACATCGAAAAGTGTTTTAGCGATGAAAAAGTTACAATGCAATATTTACATGATGTTTATTTAGATTTAACAGATGTTCTTTCGAAGGTTAAAACAGAAACAAAGGAATTTTCTGATTTATATAAAACAATTACAGGTGAAAAATCAGATTTAGTGATAGATGAAGATTTCACGATAAGATTAATGGAATTTTTTTATGCACTTATATCCATAGAAAAATGTATTAAAGAAGATAAAAAATTATGTAAATTTGAGAATCTTCAGTGTATTAATGAAGCTTTTATTTACGATACTAAAGATTTCAATAATTATAACAAAGACGGTAATTTTCAGTATTGGTTAGATCTAAAAAGTTTTATAAAAGAACTAGAGCTAAGTGCATTTATTACTATTTTTGATAAGTCAAATTCAATTGAATCATTGTTTAACAAAATACATAAAATCTTAAAGATTATAAAAAAAGATTTTGAAAATGATCTTAGTAAACCTTGCGAAAGAATTTATAAATCAAATATTTTTCAAATAGTAAAAAATTCTCTTTATGAAATTAGAGACAGTGACATAGATTATATGTTTTTTTCTACAAAAGCTACAGAATTATTTCAGCACAGTCTTAAAGAATATTACAATATAGTAATAAATGATTTAGGATAAAAATAAAACATTTAAATATGTTATGAGTTTTTTGACTATACTTTTTTTGCAAATTTCAATCAACACAATGTTTGTGTAATGAAAATTATTAATTTAACTGAAAAACATTTTTTTTTTAATTTTTTTACCGAAAACAACTTGTCTGTAAAAAGTTATTGTACTAATTAAAATTGACAAATTATAACTGTAAATAATAAAATATTATTAAAATGTCGATTTAAGTAACCCTTATGGGTGTAAAGGGGCTATGGAAAATAGTTAACGAATGTGGAATGCAAGAAGATCCAAGTGGTCTTACTTTAGCAATAGATACAAGTATATGGGTCCATCAATACAAAGGAATGTCTGAAATTGATGCAATTTATGTCATATCAAAAAAGATAATAAAACTACTTTATCATAATATTAAACCGGTTTTTATATTTGATGGTCCTCCAAATCCACTAAAAAAGAAAGTTTTAGACGAGAGAAAAAAAGAAAAAATTGATGCATTAATTAAAGATATTGTAAATAATGCTAATTGTAAAAAATGTAAAGTTTCTATAAGAACATGTGTGCATGGTGGTCTTTTAAAGGACAATTTTAACGAAGGTGATATTGAAGCAAATACTGAATGGGGTGATGTATATGATGAGTCTAAGATTCACTCAACTATACACGACAAATTACTTGATAATAAGAAAGATTGTATAAATACACATAAGATTGATTGTAGCTTAGCAAATAATGCACTGATTACACAAATCAGTGACATTAAGACTCTCATTGAAAATAAATCTTATTCTAATGCGCAAAAACTTAAGACACTAGTAAAAATGCGAGAACGTAGAAAAAATCGGTTAGAGTTTAACGATTCTTCTTTGGCAGCATTTTCTAGTTCACAAATCAAAAATATTAAGAATAGAAATCTTGTTAGTTATTACATAAAAAAACTTGAAACAAATCAAGCCAAGAGAGTTGGTTCGGATTGTAAAAAAAGCTTTGTTTTGCACAAAAATTACGATTTAACGAATAATTTAGTTAAAGAAAACGAAGAAAACTCAAGTTCTGAATTAAATGAATTTTTAGAACTTGAAAATATAGAAAAGATTGATTCTAAACTTAATGAAAATGATACATTTTCTATAAATTTACAAAATGATAAAATGAAAACTGACCTTATTTGTAGTAATAATTTTAAAAAAAATAATCACAACATTTCTTGTGACACAATAAATAATTCGGTTATTGTTTGTAAAACTGAAAGTGAAAAATTTAATGATGGTTTTTTTGGCCAAGAAAACTTTGATATAGATACTAATATTGAAGAAAATGTAATAGATTACAACTTTAATGTAAGTCGTCCTATTAAAATTAATGTTAAACAATCATTCAATGATGAATCCTTAGATTTTTTAAGCATTCAATCGATAATTAAAGATATTTTAAAAATATTTAATATGCCATATTTAGATTCGCCGTCCGAATCTGATGCACAGTGCGCTTCTTTGTGTAAGTCTGGTGTAGTTGATGGTGTCATAACAGAAGATAGTGATATTTTGTTACATGGCGGTGTTGTTTATAAAAATTTTTTTCGTAAAAATAAATACATCACCAAATACGATCCTAAAAAAATTTATGAAGTGATGGGGCTATCTTTAAATGACTTAATAAGCTTAGGATACATTCTTGGATCAGATTATACAGTTGGCATTAAAGGAATCGGCATCAAAAAGGCAGTAGAATATATTAAGTCCGAAGATTTTAAAAATTTAGACATAAAAAATTACTATAATATTTATTTACAATGCCCAGTTAGGGAAGACTGGATACCACAGTTTAAAACCATAGAATTAGAAAAAATAATTAGGTACTGGTCAACTAATGGACTAGATAAAGAAAAGATTGATGAACTTAAATTTTATCTTACAACAAAAAAGTAAATAATTTATGTATTTATAGTACCAAGTAAGATGAAATTAGAATTATATTTTAAAATAATTTATTCTAAAATTTGATGCGCAGCCTTTTTCATTCTATCCATAATTGCCATCCCTTCATATTCTAACGGTAAGCTTTTTGTTATTATTATATCACAAGTTGTATCTAACTTTCTTAGTCCCTTAAAAAAGTTTGTCGCTACTTCCTTATAATTATTTCCTAACTCAAAAATAGTAACGTTTTCAATTTGTGGTTTAAAATTAAAATGCGATAGAATTCCAACATTTTTATAATTTTTAATTAACTCTTTTAAATTAATAGTATCAGTTGTTATAACAATAAACTTGTTAATAGGACTATAATGCTTATATTTTTGGCCCGGACATATTGTAGTATTTTTTCCTGTAAAAGATAAATAGTTTACATTTATCTTCTTACAAATTATATTTTCTAACTCACAAATTTTTACACCACCAGGTCTTAAAATTATAGGCTCATTGATGTATGAAAATACTGTTGATTCAAGTCCAACTTTACATTCACCGCCATCTAAATATAATGGACAGTTATCACCAAAGTCATCAATAGCATGTTGAACACATGTTGGGCTTGGCTTTCCACTAACATTGGCCGACGGGGCAGCCAAAGGAACGTTAAGTTTTTCAATTATATCTAACACGACTTTATTATCAGGCATTCGCACCAATACAGTGTTAAGCCCAGCTGTAACATTTTTTGATAGATTTTTATTAGCCCTAAATAAAAGAGAAATAGGCCCAGGCCAAAAAATTTCTATAATTTTCTGATAGTTTTCTGGTACTTCGCCTTCAATAATTGTTCGTAACATGTCGAGTGACGATACATGCACTATCAATGGATTATCTATAGGCCGTTTTTTTAGTCTAAAAATATTTTTCAAAGCCTGTTCGTTATTTATTGAAGCAGCCAGACCGTACACTGTTTCTGTGGGAATTACAACAACATCTTGTTCGAAATATTTGATTACTTCGTTGATATCCAAATTTTTAGTAGAAATTACTTTCATGGGTAAAAAAATACCGATTTTTATATACAACTACTAAATTTACAATATTTTTCTTTACTTTACCCTTTAAATGCAACATCTTCTTTACGAACACGCAAAGGGATATTTACTATTTGAACTAAAAGAATACGAAGATTTATCAAAAGGATCATATCAAGAATATATGAAATTAACACAAGTAATAAAATTTATTGCTAAATTTGACTTCTCTGATGTTCATATTGCTAATGATAATATACAAAAACTTTGTTGTAATAAGTTATCTACAGAATTAATAAACCTTTTAGAATTAAATAATGTACAAATACTACATTCAGATCCTTCGTTAAAACAAGCACTAAAAGAAATTGGTATAAAACAAAAAACAAGTTTGAACATTATGAGAGGCATAAAATACAATGAACATCGAATTTTGAAATCTGAACTAGATTTACAATTTCTTCTTGGATTATCACATACATTTTCACGACATAAAGTAGAATTTAACAGTAAAAAAGAAGATAATTTTTTAATTAATACAACAAATATGTTAGAGCAACTTGAAAAGGACATTAACAGTTATTCTATGAGAATTAAAGAGATGTTTGGTTGGTCTTTTCCAGAACTTTTTGCTGCATGTAGTAATAATGATGAATATATTAAAGCTATGGCATTTTTTATATACGGCGAAAATATTGAAAATTTACCGAAAGAAAAAATTGAAAAATTTACAAAACTAAAAACTTGTTCAATAGGAATACAGTTAAATGAAGTAGATCTTTTAAATATTAAAAATTTATGTGAAATTATTGCAGAAAAGATTAATTTAAAAAATAAATTAAAAGTGTATCTAAAAGATAAAATGGAGTTTATTGCACCAAATTTATGTGAGTTATTGGGGGATTTAATGGCGGCAAAGATTATTGTTTTATCTGGTGGATTAGTTAATTTAGCGAAGTCTACAGCATCTACGATTCAGCTTTTGGGTGCTGAAAAAAGTTTATTTCAATCGTTAAAAGCCAAAACTAATACACCCAAATATGGTGTGTTATTTAACTCAAAATTAGTTAGTAAAGCACAAATGAAGAATAAAGCTAAATTTAGTCGTTATTTAGCAGCCAAGATATCTTTGTTATCTAAAATAGATTGTTTCTCAAATAACAGAACTAATGCTTATGGAGTTGCAATAAAAAAGATGGTTAATAAAAAGTTAAAAAATTTTGATACTGAAAAAGAAGAAGAGAACACCGAAGAAGTTTTGAGTAAGGTTTATAAAAAATTAAAAACAATAAATTAAGTTTTTCTTTCGTTTTCTCTTTTATTTTTTTAAAGAGCCTATACTTTTAAGCATAGCAGAATTAGAAAAGAACAATATTCTTTATTAATGTACAATAATGCTTTACATTATTTTTTTTATTTCAATGCAGAAAGAAAGCATAATCAAAAAAACATTACTTAATTTGTTATTATAATACTAGTTTACGCTACCCTGCTGAAAACGGGATCACAAATATATTGTATGTTCTTTCCTTTTAAAAAATATCATTTGCCTTTATGTATGTACTAATTGTTTCTAATTAAAAAAAGGGCTTTTTACGATAAATTAAAATTTGCTATAAACACCTTGCATAAGATTTATTTAACTAAACTAAAGCAAAGGAAAATGCACGAAAACATCGTTTTGTGCTTATGTGGCGAGAAACGCAGGAAGACGAGCAGAACTAAGAAAGTTTCCACAATGCTCGCTCCTGAAGCCAAACTAAATTGGTGTAACTTAAATGGTTTATTAACTTCATGAGGAATTGTGCTCTTGTGAGATCCCCTGTTGATCTTATGATTCTCTTGCTGTTGATGATTATGTAAGTTATTCATGACAGCGATTCCCTTCTATTCATAAAATATTTTTATACTAAAATTTCTTCAAGAAAATTCAGAAAATAGAAAACATTTCATATAGAATTAATACCACAGCTTAGAGAAATAAACCTAACACTTATGCCATTCGTTCTTAATAAAAAATACAACGAATTTTATATATTCTTAAAATAGAAGGGATAAAAAATAAATAAATATTCAGATTCAAACTTTTTATATACAGTGCGCGTCAAAATCTTAAGACACCTAAAAAAATTTTCCGTGCAAAATTAAACAAGATACAATTCTAAAATCATTATTCGTGTTTAAACATTGTAATTAAAATGATTAAAAAAATACATTTTATTAAATATTATTTTATATATGTCTAATCTGGTTTTTGGATTTTTTTGTCTCAAGAGGTGCGTCAAAATCTTAGGACAACTCCCTAAAAACACGTTTTATAGAATTGTAAATATCAAATTCGTTTCATTTTGTTACAATAAATTACTATGTGATTTTATTTTTCTAATCTAAACTACTATAAAATGCTTAGAATAAATAACTAGCCTTACAATTAAATGGGGCGTCTCATTTAACTCAAATTTAAAATACAAACATATGCTTAAAATAATAATATCTGTTATTTAATGTTTTTTGATTCAGAAAAGTGATTTTAGATTTCTTTAACTTTTCTCAGGGACATGATGGTTTTGATGTTTTTTTTAAAAAATAAGTAATTTAAAAAAAAAAAAACTTATTTATTGATTTTATCACCTCTTTATTTAACAATGTCGATCATATGCTGTTGCATTACATTAACATATTTAAACAAATTTTCGGGTGTAATACTTGACCAGGCTACTAATATCGCAGAATGTAAATCTTGAATATTATTAAATTGTTTCCCGTCTCTATAA